TTTTCACTTACTTTATCGTAGGAGTATTTTTCTTTCGACTCTTCATGTCAGTCATCTATGGCTACATGCAATTCTTTTTCATTTGCTTTATCGTAGGAGTATTTTTCTTTCTTGACTCTTCATGTTTACCGGCCGCGGCAACAAAAGTCTCTTAATTGAAATATTTTTGGCATGCAAATATTATTGATCTATAGTTGATTAAAATGTGACAATGTGTGAAGAGCAACAACAGCATCAGCAGTCGTGGTCATATCAGTATTTTTCCAAGTCGTGGAAGCTGCATGCGGTGGCATGAATCCAGTTAAACCTAGCTCATTAGTTTGGCTAAAAAAGGAGAGGAGAGGAGGAGATTGCTAATTTGGGCGCGGTAATCTCTCCTGGACTCTCACCGTACGGATATATATATAGAGAGAGCGCGCGAAATAAGCTCCTTCATTCTCTCACACACCACACCACACCACAATTTGTCGTCCGACGTACTGTGCAAATCGATCGACCAACGCGAGACGAGCAGCAGCAATGGCAGTGCAGCAATGCACGGTGGCGCTAGTGGTGGCCGTCGCCCTCGTGGCAGGGCCAGCCGTCTCGTACGCCGCCGAAGCCGGCAACGCCCCGGCCGGGGCACAGCCCAAGGCCACGACCGAGGAGCAGAAGCTAATTGAGAAGGCCAACAACGCCTTCAAGGCGGCCGTGGCGGCCGCAGCCGCAGCCCCTCCAGAGGACAAGGGCAATATATTCGTGAAGACCTTCAGACAGAACAATGGCAACTGGTCTCTCGAGGGGGTCACCGACGCGTCCAGCTCCACCGACAGTCTCAACACCAGGGTCACCTTTGCTATGATGAGGGCCTTATGGGACACCAAGGGCGCTACCCCGGAGGCCAAGTACGACTCCTTCGTGGCTATCTTCGGCGAGTCGCTCCGCATCATCGCCGGCATCCTCGAGGTGCACGCCGTCAAGCCCGCTGCCGAGGAAGTCAAGGGCCCGATCCCTGCCGGCGAGCTGAAGGCCATCGGCCAGATCGACGCCGCCTTCAGGACTGCAGCCACCGCCGCCGACGCTGCCCCGGCCAAGGACAGGTCCGCCGTCTTCGACTCCGCCTTCGACAAGGCCATCAAGGAGACCACGGGCGGTGCATCCGGGGGCTACAAATACGTCCCCGCCCTCGAGTCCGCGGTCAAGGAGGCCTACGCCCCCACTAATCCCAAAAACCCTAAGATCAGGCTTATGACCTATGAGACCGCCATGGTCGAGACCATCTTCGCCATGGCTGCCGCCGCCACCGCCGCCGCTCCCACTCCCGCCCCCGCTGCCGGTGGCCACAAAAGCTGAGCTAGTGAGCTCACCGTACCTATGCTGCATATGCATACGTGCGTATGTCATGTGGCGGCAGTATTTTTGATCGACAATCAATATCAATTCTTGTTTTTCGTGTCATGCACCCGCGATCGAGATTGATGACTTCTCATAATTACTAAATGCAAAAAGTCTGAAAAAAACAAGATTTCATAGGCGAAGTCTGAAATCTATATCTATATCTATACCTACTATTAAAGGGAATATGTATTTTTGGTTTGGTTTAGTCCTTCTCCCTTGGTTTACACACGCTAAGCGATCCGGCCCAGGTACTTGTATGTTGAAGGGCCTTTTATGGGCTTTCGTGAAAATAATTGGGTCAAAATAAATCAACATTATGGGAATTGAACACATGACCTCATGTCTAGCTCTTCGATGTAACAACCAACGACCTATGCGCCTTTCACATTTACTAATCCCAACTCGCTCTAAATATACAAGTGGCGGTCATCATGTTTAGGCGAGCTAATTAAGCGAATGAGCTAATAAAGGAAGGATTGTGGGCTTAAAAAGAATATTTAAACGAGAACTAAATTACAAAAGGAAGGATTTGATTCCCGACTAAAACGAGTGAGGACGTCATGGTAATTAATGAAAGGATTATACTTAAATGCCATTAAAAAAGATTATACTTAAATGGAATCACTGGGAGATTATGCCCGGCAAAGAAAATATGAACACGACTATATTGCAACGTATTTTTCTATGTTCATTTTGTAGAAGGATGCTTTGTTGCAGCATGTTTTTCATAGTGAATCCGGTGCTTTGAGACATTATGCTTGCACAAAACATCAATTTTACCCGTTGCAACGCACGGGCATATGTGCTAGTGAACCCTAAAATCCAAATCCCACAGATCAGCACACTGTTTTATCTAATCCCGGCTTAGCCCGGCCCTTTTTGGCTGAGAAGGCATTTGTTCCCGCCGGGATTGCCCAAGATGACAGAGATTGGGGAGAAAGCGAACAGTTTTGTCATAGCTATTTCAGTGAGATTGACGGAGACTTACCAAGGTGACTGTTCAGTCTTCAGTGCATGCTCGATCACTGGCCGTTCAGTCTTCTGCACACGAGCTAAATTGCTGGTAGCTAGTTAAGCCAAGTGCATATATAGCTGTGTAAAGACACGTGCATGTTTCATCGTCAATCAGCAGTGGTATAAAAATTCTCAATCCTGTGTATAGTTCATCTTCTTCTTAGACTGCTATATATCTCTTGCTTCGGTGGATTACTTGTGTCACCATCTACTGCATTTTTTTAATATTTATATTCCAACTTATTATTAATTTAGTTTGTAATGCATCGTTGAACCATTTTATTCACCGCATATACATATACTTGCCTTATCCATGTGAGTCCATTTTTGGAAAATGTTCTTTTCCCGTATTTCGTATCCGTATCCAAGGATGAGCACCGTAGATGACAATCTCATACATGCTAGCTGGACATATATCATGTTAATGCACTCAAAATAATTTTTAAAATTTAGCAACTTCTGAGTTGTGCTCCTATCGCTACCAATAGAAATGTATGTTGTCGACCACATTCCTACAGGCTAGGCATTCAACCACTCTGAAGCTACAGAATAATCAACATCATCTGAAACGTCCTGCCTTCACAGCCAGAAGCATCGATCCTTTCGTTCCACTCAAGATTGAGTTGAGGTGCTAAATAAGTAGGTACTACAAGTTCACAGCTTTTTACATACATACAGTCCATAGCGTTCTTTGTCTACTGTGAATACAGAGGAGCAAAAAGGATGGCATCTCTGCAAGAAGCATATACATTTGCACAGCAAATTTGCAAAAACACAACATTGAGCAGAGGGGTCTTTCTCTTTTCTTTTCTTTTCTTTCTCCACTTGCAAATCAAGTCTTTTTTGCAACTCTATATAACCTACAAACCGCAGCTTAAAAACCGTACCGCTGAAAAGAGTGGAAACAGAGTGTCAGAATTGGATGAGGTTGCAGAGAGTCAATCAAGTTTGTGATGGCTCCAACCTGTTAGGCACGTTTCACTCGTCTCCCATTGCAAGCTCTAGCGCGTAATCATCTCTATCCTGAAATAGAAAGACGGGTCGATTTCATCTTAGCAAAGTTCGAAAGATGCACATATTTAAGGAGAGAGGGGTGCCAATAACACGAGACCGCTCTTCTCGAATAAGCAAAGTTGGCTATACTTACAACAGGCCCCCGCGCAAAGTATCTTCCAAACTGGAGCCAATATACCTACAAATTGAGATAGACCATCGTTAACGGCGCAATCATCGGAAGAATTCAGAAGAATGTTTCATACTAGTTCCTATAGCATATTTGAGCTAGAAGAAAATTCTTAGGGCGTCTTAAGAGAATTGCTTGCCTCGTCTTCATCTTGCGTTTCAACTTCAAGATCAGAGGATGGGTAGCCAACACATAACAAAGCATAGCCCTGAAAAGGAAGCCGTACAAATGCAACATCAGTAGGATTTTTTCAGTTTGCAGAGGTAGAATCATAATGATATTCAAGAAGCCTGTAGCATATGGCCTGTATAGGAAGCACGCATAGCCCACCCGATTCATGTGACAAACTGAAAGCAGTTGGCAATTCTAGAGTAGCAGAGTTGAAGTCGGCCTTGATCCGTCGTAACAAGTCACTGCTCACCAACTCATCTCTACGTCAGTTGTCTTGGTACAAGTTACAACCTCTCCAAACTACTCAGATCCAGTAAAATGCAATACTTTCTTAATAAAATAAAAGGTTACTGTGATGCATTCGTCCAACAGGTGTACTCACCACTGATTACCGCAATGCAAATGGTAAAACTGAATTGGATCGTGTGACAGTAACCCAGTTGCCGCGCGGAGACAAACGATATAACTGAATCGGATCATGGGAGTATGGGACAATAATTGCAGTACCGAATACAAACTTATTAACAGTAAGGAACATGAAGAACCCAATAACACATAAAAAATTGGGTTTACCTGCTCTCTTAAGTCGGCAGATATTCCGAGAGCTTCAGGCTGTCTTATTTGCCCTGATTTTATCCTAACAGCGCAGCTAGTGCAGCAACCTGGTTAGCACAAATTTCCCAACTCAGTAGCTTTTCTAGTACATCATATGACATTGATGGAGAGGCCATGCGAGTGAGAGGGAGAAGTAAGCAGTTTGGCACCCCCAACTGATTGGAAAAATCAATAGCACTAATCAGCAACCAGTTGCGTGAGATTAGACAGAGTGGAACAGCATACGGTTTAGTTGCTTATAGATAGTTACAGTTGGTGCTAATTGCTGAACAATGAGAATGAGACGGACGACGAGGCCGAGAAAGGCAGCATGTAATACTACCATGGCGGCAGGCGAATGGGAGCGTGATGTCCTGTGCCTCCGCGGTGTGCAGAATGTACTGGTCCTGCAAGCGGCCGTGGCACGCACACCAATCAGCACCACCTTGAGAGGAGGCGAGAGCGAAACAAATCCAGCATGCATACCTGGGGCACGACGAACTGGTGGACGACCCCGCGCTCCCGGTCGTGGACGGTGACCTTGTGGGTCGGGACGGCGGCGGCCGGGGCGGGGGCGGGGGCGGGGGCCTGCTGTAGCTCCGAGGCGCGCGCCGTGGTGCTCGTGCCACGGGCCGGGCGCGGGAGGAGGCTCGGGCTCCTCCCGCTTCTCCTCCAGAGGCCTCCTCCGTGCGCTGCTCCCACGCGAGCCCTGCATGCCACCCAAGGAGAGGAGAGGAGAGGAGCGCGTCTGTTAGGAACCGCGGCCGGGAGAGGGAGGGGAGGTGCGGAGGGCCGTGCGCGTACGTGGTCGCGGCGGGGCACGCCGCCATCCTGGTCTTGGACTGCCTGCCTGTGGTCGCCGGGCCGGCGAGACGAGGCGCGGCGCGGCCGGGGAGGAGCGGGGGCGGGAGCGGCAAAATCCCAAGGGATTGGTTGGTTGGCTCGGAGCGGATAAGGCGGTGAGGAGGGTGCTTCCCGGTGCCGTTAACCGGGAGCGGCCGGGGTGCGCCGTGTCACGTCAGCGTTATAGTTTAGTTAACATGTGGTATTTCAAAAATGTTCGTGTGTTTCAAAAATATGTACATGAGGCTTTTTGAAATTGTCATACAATGTAAAAGATGTTTGTGTAACTCAAAAAAAATTTTATACCATTAAAAAAACAGCACGTTACATTGAATATATTCACACATTTCAAAAATATGTTTGTGACACTTTAAAAAAGTTTATACAATGTAAAAAATGCCAGCATAGTTTACAAAAACGCTTTGTATCATTGAAAAAAGGTTTCAACATGAATTTGAAAAATGTTTAACACATATTTGAAAAATGTTCAAATGTGTATACAAAATGCTAATCTTGTACTCCTTCCGTCCGGAAATACTTGTCGGAGGAATGGATGTATCTAGACATATTTTAGTTATAGATACATCCATTTTTATGCATTCTTGGGATAAGTATTTTCAGACAGAGGGAGTATTTGAAGATGTTAGATGCATATAAAAAAGTTTTATACGTATACAAAAATGTACAATGTGTGTGACAAAAACAAACATCAAAAAATATATTTGAAAAATGTTAATCGTGTATCGAAAAAATGTTAAATGTGTATAAAAACATTCTGATGTATAAAAAAATGTACAAAAAATGTTAAAATCAGTGGATACCCGATAAAAACCAACCGAAAATATACTCTCGCTCACGTACAATGCTTGGCCGCTCAATAGTTGTCGTGTTGTAGGTATTAATAATAAGAATCAGTGCGAGCGAAACATAGTTATCGCGACCCGACTCGCTCGTGCAGGCTCTGGCGTGCACTCCTGCATAGGAGAACCTCTTCTTCTCTTCTAAAAACGAGGAGTACTTAGAAAAAAATGTTGCATAGGAGAACTTCTTCTTCGGAGCATGTTTTTCCCCGAAAGGCATGAGGCCATATATTAAATATTACAAGGACCAGCCAATTAAACCTTATAGAAAAAGGAAAATATCAAATCCCTTATTAGGGGTGCCAAAGTCTTGTTCCTTTTACATGCATCGGGGGCGCGCCATGAGCAAAGTTCATTTCAGCCGTTGGACCTCCATCTCGGTGAAGAAAACTTATTTAAACCTAGGAGCTTATAGAAGCAGCGGCGGAGAAGTCATCGATGTAGACCAGAAGACACCGACGTTCACGATTTGCGTAGTAAGTCACCACCTCGGAGAAAAAACGTCGAAGAGGACCTCGAAATACTCCAAAGACCATGAGCGTCGACCAACACCCCGACGACATGACCAAGACACATAAAGCATCCACCCATATTTGAGAAAATCCAGATGACGCACACACCGTCTCCCAGGTCCAACACCAATAACAATGTGCGGAGGAGCCTTATTCATCGCTACCATCGCCCCCGCCGAAGCCGAATCCCAAAAATGTTGCATAGGAGAACTCCTCTGGTGCATGTTTTGGTAGCAGGTCAAGGCCAGTGCGCAGCCTGGCGTCGACAAATGTGGGGAAATTTGATGACACTTTGTAACAGTTATTATCAGGTCTAATCCTCCGAACGCATAGGACGACCCCAGATCTTTGCATGGTGGACAATAGAATGATGGTGATCGATCAATATGTGTGATGTGCTAGCCATAATGCATGCAGCAAACATAGAGACGTGAAACGGTTGAGATACATGTATTTTGCATCAATATATGGCTAAGTAGTCATTCCTGCATCTGCATTCTACCACCATTTTTGGGACTTGATTCTAGGGGGGCTCTTTGATGATTTTCACACATGAGATTTTTATATTGCTAGATTGAATTATAGCCTAATTACCTTGATTCCTAAGTGCAATGATGCCAAACAATTCAAAAATTTAGCCCATTCGACTTCTTAACATGAGCTTTAAATTCACTAAAGTTTAGATGAATTGATTGGCTAGGGTGGTTGATCTTGTCATTTTGCCCATACAACTATTGTTGTGAAAGGAAGACAATCATGCATGGTCCTAATTCTTCGTGTGTAACGCCCTCGATGCGGTTATGCCTCTAAGTCGTGCTTCGACACGTGGGAGATATAGCCGCATCGAGGGCGTTACAAGTTGGTAATCAGAGCCATCCCCGACCTTAGGAGCCCCACTGCTTGATCATTTTTAGCGGCCGAGTTGTGTCTAGAAAATGTTTTGAGTCATTTAGGATTATATATATCGGAGAGTTAGGAATTCTTTTTACTCCTCAGTCCCTTCGTCGCTCTGGTAAGGCATCCTGACGTAGAGTTTTGACTCTTCTCTTCTCAAATTTCACTAAATTTTTTTAGGATCACGCGGGTATGTTGGAATCGTTCCGATGGTTTTATGATGAGAACATTGTCTTGGTGCCTCCTGTCAGGGGTTTAGTGGAAGTGTCCCGGGGAGTTGAGCTCTGAGGTGTTGTCGTCATAATTTTATCATTGCAGTTCTGGAATACCTGAGTTTAGTACGCCGACATCGAAAATCTCTTTTATGCAGTTGTTGGTGAGATAACCCCGATAACCCAGTACTGAGGTGAGTACGGGAGTATTGCCATGACTCGTATAACGGATGCTTTTCGAAGGTTGATGTAGACGATTTCCGAAGGTTTCTTGGTTATGTGTTGACGGATGGATACAGCTTGGATGTAGGGATTGTTAGTTTGGGTGAGATATATTGCTTCCCCTGTATCCCCAACACCAGATTGCATAACCAGAAAGTTTCGGGAGTTTTATAGGTGGGAATTCAAGTAGCTCCTAGAATATCTTTCCGACAGATGCATGATATGGGATTGGGTAAATCTCTATCATATGTTTGTTTCCGGCTTATTCTGCAAGCCAGTCCTTTGTTTTTGTTTTGAATTGTGGTATTTGAGTTGCTTCGATGTCAAATGTTGAATCCATACCTTTCCTAAACGGTGTTCTCATATTGCTATGTGAATACTAATCCTTTTGATCATTGATTTTGTCATGTTAATTCTTTTCCAACCGGTGTGCTTCTCTTCAAGTGGATCCCATCATTTTTCCCATCCGCAAGATCAATTCCAAGTTTTCTCAACGGTGTTTGTTTCGGTCATCCCAAGTTGTCTTTGTTTTTCCCCGCCCACCCACCCTTTTCCTCAAGGACTAAGATTTCTTTACCAAGTATCCTTTTATTTTTGTGAAGTTTCTCCATTCTTTTCCGTCAATGTTCTTACCCGGTGGTTCTCAAGAAG